ACTATTAAAGAAAAGAAAAGAAAACATATTTTTTAAAAAGTTACTCAAAGGAAACCATATATTTCAAATCTGAAACAAGAAAAGCTTCCTACAAGGTATCTCTATTTAAATGGCTTGCTGTCATGTCAAATTCAATCCAGTTGAAATTTAGGTCATTGTCTATATTAAATCAGCTATCCTACCATGGAGATGGGGTTACAATCACCCCTCCCCACTTAGCTGTGATACCTTTATCAGGTAAGAATACATGTGACTGAAACACTGAGAGGTTTGAATTGGGTATGAACAAGGCTTGAATATTTCAGCTAGGTATAACAGTAAATCTGTCCCCATTGGCTGGAGGATTTGGTCATACCTCATGGGGCTTGTAAAAACCAGGAGGCTAGTCTGGAATTGGAGTATTTGAACAGTTAATGGTGGAAGCCTCCTGCCCAAACCCCAGAAGGAATTACTTAGAAAGAAAGAGAATATTGTAAACTGAGCCCTCAAGGACCAGAAGATTCTGGCTTTTCATTGGTGTCCTACCAGAATCCCCGGTGTAGCAGCAGCTGGCAACAGTGCCTGAATCAGGAGCTGGGAATAAACTGAAGTGAGAGAGCAAAGATAGATTCAATGCTCCACAAGACACTAAAGAAAAATGACACCCTACCTAAGGAGGATGCCAGCAAAATGACTCACAGAACCTGTGGGTTGTGCGCATTACCACATGCGCACTAATCTTAAGCCTGATTTCTCTTGGGCTCCATGTGTACTTGTGGAACAGTATGTCACAGACTGGTTGGGAGTGGAGACAGAGGTCTTAGACCACCAGAGGAAAATGCCTGTTTCTAAAAGCTAATTAAGTCTGTCTGACTAATTGAAATCAGCTGATAATCAGCGAAAGAAACACACTAGTAGGGACTCAAGAGCCATAACATTAGAGAAAACACCTCATATCTCCCCAATGCTGCAACTCTTGGACCCTTAAGGAAGACATAATATAATCACTTTGGGGACCTGACCTTCCACCTTGAGAGGAGATCAAGAGAGAACTTCCATAGCATACCTTCTACTTCTTCATTTCTATTAGTGGCAACTACCATTCTTTGAGGCCTTTGAGGCCTTTCCTCTTAATTTCACATATCCAGCGAGTCACCAAATCCTTTTGTTTATCTTTCCTCCAAGATGTCTATTGGATTCAGCCTTCCTCCCCATTACTGCTGCCATTTTTCTAATATAGGCCCCCAAATTCACAAACCTAGATTACAGAAATACCCTCTTCAAGTAGCCTCCCTGTTTTTAGTGTATCCATTCTACAATCCACCCCAAAGAGATGACAGATTAACTTTTTTTGTCTCATATTATATCACTTGTTTTTTCTCTTTTTAAAAAAGAATGTTATTTTATTTTTTCTCAATTACATGTAAAACAAATTTAACATCTTTAAAAATCATTTTTGAGTTCCAAATTCCCTCCCTCCTTCCCTCTTCTGACCCTACCTTGAGAAGGCAAGCACTTGGATATAGCTCATGCATGTGCAGTCAGGCAAAACATCAGATTAACTTTTTAAAACACTTTCTTTTGAACACTACTTTCATATTGTTACTATTCTGCTTAAGAACTTTCAATGGCTCCCTCTTGTCTATAGGATCATGTATAAACACTTTAGCTTAGCGTTTAAGACCCATCATCAATTGATTCTACGGCTAATACAGTGCCTGGCACTGATTCACTATCTAATGTGTTACAGTTATGCATGGACAGAGTCATGAATTCAAAAGAATAGAGCCCTCTGGATGGGTTCACATTCCATCATGGTCTCTATGAATGCAAGCAGTGTCAAAACTGCTTGGGCGAGCTTGAGATGGCCTGGGATATGGTTCAGTACTTGGCATGCCTCAAGTCAAGCTTGCCATGATGCCCGTGGTTTCCTTTCTAATACCTGACGTGAGACATGTTCATCCTTGAGTCCATGCCTTTCCTCATGCTCCCCCCCCTCTTACTGGGGATTACTTTCCAACCTTTTTTTTCACCAATCCAAATCTGGTTTATTTCAAAGTCAAGATCTTCCCTACAAACCTTTCCTGGCTATTACATACCATAATGTTAAATTCATCAAACAATCTAGTCTTTGACTGTTTTACATTGTTATTTTAGTTGTTTTGTATATCTACAGATTGACTGCCCAATTAGACAGTAAGCTCTTTGAGTGCAGGCTTCTATTTTTTTCATATGCTCTATTGAACCTAGAATGGTGTTGGAACATAGTAAGAATTTAACAAATGTGAATCAATGTGCTATTGTGGTAGGAAAAAAGTCTCACTGGGGAAATATTTTTCACAAAATTTCAAATGACAACTTAATATTTCCTTTCACACAGGTTTTCCTGCCATATCACTCATGTAGCACAAGCCAAACCATTGCCTGGTATGAAACGTTGGGAAGAATGGGCAGTAGGTCCTCGTGTCTACAAGTCAGAGAATTCATCATGCTGACCCAAAAAGCTGAGGAGGGCTTGTTATAGATGTCAGGGCAACTTCAGAGAAAAGGAATGGGAGGAAGAAGGAACATTTACTCCTTCTTCTCTTCTCTAGTAATCCCTTTGCCAGCTGCCAGAGAGAGTTCTTGACTTGACTCCAGGGTTCACTGAAAAATGAAAGGCTTGGTCTTCCTGGCCTCCAAGGGCCCATTAGGTGCCTAAGGGCAGATTTGAACTCAAGTCTTCCTGACTTCAGGCCCATCACTCTATCCTGTGCCCCATAACTGCCTCAACACGTTAGACCTCAACAAGGGCTCTGTTGAAATTCTAACAGAAAGGAATCACACGACTAGGCATTTAGGTCATGCAGGGGATACAACAGTAGGCCTTGAAGACCTGAGTTCAAAGCCAGCCCCAGAGACTTGGTAGCTGGGGGACCCTGGCAAGCCTGCCTCGGTTTTCTCAACTGTAAAATAAGGATAATACCAGCAATTATCTCACAGGGTTGTTGTGAGGACTAAATGAGATGATATTCGTAAAGTGCTTATTAGAGTGTTATTATAGTGCTTAATAAATGCTTGTTCCCTTCCTTCTCACACTTTACAGGTTAGTTTATCAGATACAGCAGCTGTGACTAGACAGAAGAGGATACTAAGGGATATATGAGAGGTAAATTTCATTCATTGGAGAAGTTTGGGAGTGTGGGAGGTGGGGAAGGTCCAGAGTATGACCGTTAGAGACAGCTCTGGGTAAGACATCAAAATGAGAGGTCTTTGGAGGGTCAGTTGACAGTGGAAGGACAATGGGCCCGGGGGGTCCTTAAAGAGGGGTGATGAGACTTCCTTTCCTCTTCCTAGACCTGGCCCTGCTGCCCTGTTTTCATGCCTAAAGTTTTGATGGTTTAATTATGTTTCTGCTAATGTGTTCCCATTTTCACATTTCACAGTTAAACCTAATGTTCCCTTTCCTGAATCTTTGGCTGGAATTCGCTTCCAATTGTGCTCTGATTATCAATTTCTCCTAAGCCTGAGGAATCTGAAGTTGCCACTGTTAACATTCTTCCTTTCCCTATCCTCGATTCTCCTTTCTCATATCTCTTCCCTGACTTCTCACTGAGCTACCTCCGCACATGAATCCTGAACTCCTATAGGAGAACTGCCAGGATAGATGTACAAGACAAAAAAAAGAGGGGGAAAGTCCTGGAGAGGAGACGAGAATGGGGGGTCATCCTTTCAAAGGTGACATGCACAGAAGTGGCTTATCTCATGCCATTTACATGATAGATCCTAGCCCTATCATGGTCTCCTACTTTTTATGCTTTTTTCCTAGATACCCATCAAAACCTTGCCTCCAGGTTCTGATGACCCAAGACAAAGGAAGCCTTGGCCCTGTCTTCATCAAGGAATTGGACAGGGAGGGACTAGCTTTTCCTTTCTTAAGTGTTTTCCTGAGATGCTCTCAAAATGACATGATACTCTTAATAAGCTTCATTGGAAATGTACTTTACCAAAGAAATAAGGCATTAATGAAAGGGCAATTCAACACCAAGGGATCCTCTCTTCACTTACCCATTGTAAATTATCATAGATGAATTTCTTGACATCTTCCTTCTCTAAAAACTCAAATAGCTGGAGCTGTAATTCAGGAATAGGAGGTTAAAAATGGGTAGAAAGTGTCTGGTTCTTACATGTTAATGCCTTGTTAATACTTCATAATGATTAAAGAATCATACGCATACACATTTCAGCAAACTGATAAGCTACCTATTTGATATGAGTGGCAGCCTGGTGGATGGACGGAGGGCTGGTCTCAGTGTCAATAACATCTGGGTTTAATTCTGTTTCTCATATATACTGCCTGTGTGGTCATGGAAAAGTCGTTTAACCTCTTAGTCCCTGAAAAGAACTCTCTTAATTACTGAAGAGTTGAGGAAACTGCAGCATTGAGATGTTCCCACCCAGATGAAATCACAGATACAGACTGAAAGTAATGAGATAATCAACAGGGCCTGATAGTATGTGCATAATAAAGGCTTGTCAAGTGAATGAATAAATGAATGAATAAAAACACACTGTAAAATGTGGTAGCTCAAATCCACGAATTTTGTATTCCTTGTTTTTAACAAGAACAAAATCTCAAGGTGAAAAGGCAAACAGAATTTTTAGTAGGGATAGCTGTGCTATCTTTGAGACCTAGTTACAGAAACATAGCCAGTAAGAATGTGAGGAGGCCAGACCTGGCAGCTATGGCTTTCACCACCATAGGGCTGGTGAATCCAGAAAGCAGAAGTTCATTGCAGGCTTGTTTATTGTGGTGGCTTGGGTCTCTCATCGTCATTACATGCCTACCTCCTTGCTGCCCTGTGGCTGGCTTAATCTCCCTCTCAACGGCCAGGCCAACAGATTCAATGAAGCATTTTTGTCAACTCCACTAGTACTAGTAGGAGAAGTGTAATCCCAGGCATGAAAGCTGTCCATACTCACTCGCTCAGTCAAGCCATCTGCTTGGAAGTCCCTCGTTGAGGGAAAATAAGTTTCTGATGTGACGACACAGATGATGACTTTTTGTCTTTCTCCTGCAGCCCACAGAGTATCTGCCAGAGCTGCTGAGAGGGCCTCTTTCTGTACTCGATGGCTCATTCTGCATAAACTGCAATGCAATTAAATCAAAAGGTGAAAAAGATTCCAAGGAATGCCCAAGTGTTCCCTGGGCAGGAAGCAGATACTTGATTGGGACTGTTAGCTGTTTTGCTTAAATGGCTTATAATGAGGAAAGGTAGCTTTGAAAACTTGTGGAGTTGAAGTATCTCTCTCCACCTCCAATATATATATATATATATACATATATACATATATATATACATATATACATATATATATACATATATACATATATTAATATATGTGTATACACACACACATATATACATACATACATACATACATACATATATATATATATATATATATATATATATATATATTATATATATATATATATATACACATACACTCTGTCCCTGACATGTGATGCACTCTCTGGGAAAGAGATGTGACAATTAATGGTTACATTTGACAGTGTGGTTGGGTCACCAAAAACCAATCATTGGCTGAGAATGAGTCTGGAATTCCAATTTGCATGAATGAATGAATGACTGAATTTTGTCCAAGATGTCGGGATCTGAACCAATCTCAGATTGGCTGAGCATTATAGGGTCGAGTGATGACAGGGTGTCCTGGGATCCTAGGAAAATGGTCACTAGGGAGAAATATTTAGGAAATCTGAGAACTCTTCAGTCCATGATGGGACTGAAGACATTTTTCCAGATATACTTTTGATGACCTGAACCATATTATTATTATTTTTTGAGGCAATCAGGGTTGTGACTTAACTAGGGTCACACAGCTAGTAAGTGTCTGAGGGAAACTTATTATTAATAAAGATTCCTATAAGCACTCTTTTCCCTTGCAAATAAGGGTCCTAGATGAGGCACATTTGTGGTCTTGAGTGTAGGGTAGATAATTGCTGACATTTGTACAGCAAAGCGAAGTTTCAAAGCATTTTCCATACATTATATGACTTGGTCTTCACAACAGTCCTGTGAAGTAGGTACAGTGACACCTCCCCTCTTTTACAATTGAGGAAGCAGAGGGTCAAAGAGATGAAGTGATTTGCTCAAGGTGACACCACCAGTGTCTAAGGTGAGATTTAGGTCTTCCTGACTCCAAATCCATCATTCTATTAGTCTGTGATAAAAGAGAGGAAAGAGGGTATGAATCCAGGCCATCTACTTGTAACAATTTTAAATTGTTTCTTTTTTTTGGGGGGGGGAAGCTGTTCATCACAGTACAGACAGATCCAGAGGTTGAAAGATGAAAGATGCTATATATGAAAGAGCGGGGGTGGAATCAGCAAGCAGAATGAGACATCTATGTTTTTGTATACAACCATCAAGGGGATTTATTTTACTTGACCATGCACATCTGCTACAAGAAACTTGGCGGGGTTTTTTGTTTGTTTTCCAAATGAGGTAGGGAATGAAAGAGATAAAATATATTTCTATCCATGTTTTTTAATAAAGGAGAGGTACTACAGATGTGGAATGTTGTATGAATTTTCAGATAAGGTCACTGTATTATTAGTTTAACTTATTAAAAAAAACTTTATTATGAGTTTCTCCCAAGTGAGGATAATCTATTAGATTGTAAGCTCCTTGAAAGCAGGCACTATCTTTTGCCTCTTTTTGTATCCCCAGTGCTTAGCACAGTGCCTGGCACATAGTAAGCACTTAATAAATGTTCAATTGAATTGAATAAAAGGATAATTCAGGAGTGTGTTGGTAAATGTTAAACAACCAGTTCTCTGAAAATAAAAGGTGCCCTTGATACACTTTTAACTTTAATCTGCATCATGAACATTTTTCCATCACTTTCTTAGGTCTGGACAGTCAATAAAATAAACAAATTCAAGCCCTGATTTGTAACATTTGCCTATTTCTGAGATGTAAATATTCACACTGAAAATTTAATAATCAGTCTGAGAGCCAGGTACGAGCTGGCTCTAGCACACCCCTGTAGCAATCTGCAAAGGTTTGCGATGTAAAAACAAAATACATCAAAAAGACTTGAAAAAAAGACATAGAGCATAGGATGGCCTATGAAGTACAGAGGCAGAGATTCATCATTTTTATTTATAATACAGTAAGTATGAAACCTTGGGTCAAGGGTCCCCACCTGTGATGCCTCCCCCTCCTCTGTGCTTATCCGAAGCCTACCAAGCCTTCAAGACATTGCTCTAAGTGTAGATTTTCTGATCAAGTTGCCCTTTTCTTAGCCCCTGTGGCACTGATTTCACTGTCACTTTATCACACAGACTGCCTGGAATGGTTGGTTATATTTATCTTTTCATGCATATATCTTTTCTCCTCAATCCAATTGCAATTATGTTCCTGGAGGTTGGGGTCAGAGTCTTGCTGTTTGCCTGTGAGCCCCATACAGCATGAATCCCAGTGGCTGGTGCAGAGAAGGCATTCGATAAATCAAGATGATGTGACTGATTGACTGTTCTCACTAAAGGAAGCTAATTGGCGTTGATTGACTAAGAGGATGCTTACCGAGGGCTATCGCCTGAAGTTAGAGGAGGTAAGTGACAGCCCTCATGCTTCATTTACAAAGCTGCTTGGGCTCCCTATGCTTTTGCTCCCCTGCTGTGGCCAAACCGCTGCTATTTTGTGGTATTTTTGACATTCTGTCTCTCCCATCAACCATCGTCAAAGGGGCACACACCTGACATGGGAAAGGGCAATGCAGGCTTTTAATCTCAGCCAACAGATAGGATGCTCTGCAGCAGACCTATTAGACTCAAAAGCTGGAAAGAAGAGAGGATGAGACAGAATTCCTTTGCTTGAGAGAGAAACATGTCCTAGGAGAAGCATATCTGTGAGCTGGAGAACGTGGAAAGGGATGAAGATGAGAAAGAGGAATTGAATGATGGTGCTGGAGCATCCAGATGTGAGGCAGAGGTACCCATGGCTCCTAGGCACCATATTCTACCCCACCCCTATACTTTGGGTTGTACTTGTTTAAGTAAGCAAACTTGGAATCCAACCTAGCGAAATGGGGAGCTTTTACTTCTCTGTCTCTCTGTCTCTCTCTGTGTGTGTCTTTCACTCTGTGTCTCTGTCTCCATCTCTTGGTCTCTGTCTCTTGGTCTCTGTCTCTGTATCTCTTTCTCTGTTCTTACCTGAAAAAGTCGCTGCCTTTTTCACTCCTTGTAAATAAAAGGTATTTGAGGATGTTCACCTGCACAGCCATTTGGATTGCTCTGGACCCATCCTAAAGTGACAATAAAGTAGAATCAGGCCATGTAGGGATGAAAGCAGTGGAATTAGTTTGTGTGGGTGGCTGGGGCAGGAGTGGAGATAGTGGGAAAAACAAATAAAATGGAGTCGGCCCCCTTCACTATTACTACTTTTTAGTCTTGGCCTGTAATTTCTTTGGTATATTGACTTCCTCGTGTGGAAACAACCTCCACCAATGCAGATGGACCACTCTCTTATAACTAGGAGCTTAAAGCAGGCATTCTTAAGTCTGTAGATAGATGGGAGGGGGGAAGGGAAGGGTAATGGAGAGATTGAATGGGAAAATATGTGTGTGTGTGTGTGTGTGTATATATATATATATATATATATATATATATATATATATCAATGTTTATTTTCACCCATCTCTAACTGAAATTTAGATACCTGATATGATGCCAAGCTAATAGTTGCCATATCAAACTATATGTGTGTGTATCTCTCTCTCTCTCTCTCTCTCTCTCTCTCTCTCTCTCTCTCTCTCTCTATATATATATAATTATATATATATATATATATATATATAATATATATATATATATATATGTACACACACACACACACACACACACACATATATATAATAGAAGGATAAGAATCACAGACTGTTACAATAGAGGACCTTAAAGATGTTCTTGTCTGAAGACCTCATTTACAGGTAGGGGAGAACTGGTTGCTTATCTCTTACATTATCTATAAATTATTATCAATGACATGAATTTTAATGATGAAGGGTGGAAAATCCCCTATAGATGGAGCCCCGGTCCTCTAATTCTTGGGGTCAGATGAGGCCTCCAAATCCACCTGGAATGTCATCATAATTTGACCATGGAAGCTGGAAGGGAAGCCTGGCAGCTGCCTGGTGGCACCCCTTTATTTGAGAGGTGAGAAATCAGGGGCCTGAAGAGGTGGATTGCTCCTCCAAAGCCAGGCTATGGTTCCCAGCCTCCCTTGTGCGGCACAGTCTTCACTGCATGAATTTGCCTCTGGTGGGAAGTAAAAGAATGTGGATGGTCGTCTTTCCCTTTCTTGTTGAGAAATGAAATTCAAGTTCTCCTAAGAGAACTTTATTCATTTTATTTTATTCATTTTAGCCCTCCAAGCCCCTGGAGACAGTGGAGCAGATTTGAAATCCTCCTGACTCCATCAACTCTAGCGGCTCTCTGCGATCAAATACAAACTCACTCTTTGACATTCAAAACCCAAGTCTACCTTTCCATTCTTCTTCCACCTTACTCAGCTTTACATACTCTGAGCATTTTCCCTGGCTGTCCCCCATCTCTGGAATGCTCTCCACCTTCATCCTCGCCCCCTGGCTCCCTTCAAGCCTCTGCTAAAATCCTGCCTTCTACAAGAAGCCTTTCCCTATCTCCCCAACGCTAGTGCTTCCCCTCTGTTGGTTATTTCCGATTTACCCTTTACATCACTTGTTTATACTTTGTTGTTCTGCACGTCGTCTCTTCCTTTAGGCTGTGAGTTCCTTGAGGGCAGGGACTGCCTTTTGCCTTTCTTGGCATCCCTAGCACTTAGCACCATGCCTGGTACATGCTGTTGTTGTTGTTTTCTAATACTGTCCACTGGGTTTTCTTGGCAAAGATACTGGAGTGGTTTTCCATTTCCTTCTCCAGCCTGGCACGTAGCCGATGCTTAAAAAATGTTCATTGATTGACTGAAATCTTGTGAGGGCCTGTCAAAATATCGGGCCATATGGTGTCACTGTTCCCAAAAAAAGCTATCCCAATAAGGAGGCTCATAAGAATAGAAAGGTATTTGTAAGCTCCATGAATTTACATGGGTTCTACGGACCTCTGGGGACACGCTACAGGACAACAGTTTTTATTTGGTTTATTGGCTGCATAGTTACTCACCTTTCCTGTTTCCAGAGCATAGGACAGATCTGAAGAAGGTTCATGGAACTTGAAATACGACTTTTTCCAGCCATGGTTAAAGATATGTACTGTATTTCCAAACAGGATCTTTTGTAGGCTCTAAGGGAGAGAGGAATGAATCTTTTAATCAGCAAATTGCATGTTTGTTTTTTAGTACAAAAATATATGGCAAAGGCAGAGAGATAGACTAGTAGCACTGATTCTACAACACAACCTGCACCTAATCTAGAAAGGACTTTAGCTCTTACTATTGGTTTAATGATCTATGGAAGATTCCCGTACTTTGAATAATCCTTTTAAGTCAGAGGTTCTTAACCTGAGATCCATGAATTTGATTTTTAAAAATTTTCTGGGGCAACTAGGTGGTGCAGTGGATAGAGCTCTAGCCTTGGAGTCAGGAGGACCTGAGTTCAAATCCGGCCTCAGACCAGACACTTGACATTTACTAGCTGTGTGACCCCTGGGCAAGTCACTTCACCCCAGTGGCCTAAAAATTTTTTTTCTTATGTGTCTCAATATAATCCTGTATGTTTTATTTTATGCTTGTCATTCTGTGCCAGTGCTCCAGGACAGAAACAAGTAAAGAACCTCTACTCTTGGAGAATGCTGAAGGTATTAAAATAATAGTAGTAATTATAGCTAGCATTTCTATAGCAGCTTAAGGTTTGTAAAGTTTGCATGTTTTATTTCATGTGATCTTTACAACAACCCTGTGAGATGTACACTATTATTATCCCCTTTTTACAGATGAGAAAACTGAGGCCAAGAAAGCTTTTCCTAGGCTCTTACCCAGAGTCACCTAGCTAGTAATTGCCTGACACAAGATTTGAACTGAGGCCTTCCTGACTTAAAGTCCAGCCTGGTGTTCACTCTTCTACCTGGCTGCCTCTACAATGGGACCTTATCCATGGAAGATCAGTTATATAACCCGTGTGAGAAGTATACTACAAGATACACCATATTTATTAGTGACACCTAGCTAGTTGACAGTCATCTCTGTGGAGCAGTGGAGAGAGGTGGGTTTCCTCTCATTGGAGGTGTTAAGGAGAGGCTTGAAGAGCCCTTGTTGGGTATGCTATATCAGAAATTCCTTTTGGGTATGGATTCGATTAGATGGTTACTGATTCTATGAGTGTTGGATTTGAAGTTAAGAGAGACCTGGGTTAGAATCCCTCCTTTATTAAGCATGGTCTCTAATTGTGACCATGGACAGTTTCCTTAACTTCCCTGAACCTCATTTTCAGAGAGTCATAGATCTAGGGTTGGAAGGGACCTACGAGGCCATCTAGTTCAACCCTTCTTCTCCATTTTACAGATGAGGAAACTGAGACCCAGGGAACCACTTGCCCATAATCATGCATATAGCTGTATCACAGGTGGAATTTGAATACAAGTTCTCTTGATGCCAGAGTTCTCTGGCTCTCCACTCTACCACTATCTCCTTCACCAAAATGGGGATGGTGACAGCAGGAGGATCTGCCCCATAAGGTTGTTCACAGAGTTTGAGAGTTGGAAGGGACTTCAGTCATCATTTTAGTCCAACTCATACCCAAGAGGACTCACTCTTCATAACATCCTGAACAAATGGTCTCTGAATACCTTCTAGGTAACACTTCTAAGGGAGGGGAAGCTTCCACTCCTGGAGTCAGCCCATTCTACTTACTATTAGAAGGTTTTTCTATTAATATCAAATCTCAATTTATCTCTTTGCAATTTCCATTAGGAGCCAAGCAGAATAAATAAAAAAAATCTCCTTAAACAAGAAAATGGAAGTAAATATGCCTCTATAAACCTTAAAACACAATACAAATCTTCATAAATGCCACTGTTATTGTAAGTTCCCATCAGAATAGAACATAGACTAGGCCTCTGAATGGGAGTTCAGGGAAGAATACTTTCAGCAAAAGAAAAATAGAGGAATAGTAGGGTACCAAAGACCTAACTTCTACTTCTCAATTTTTCCCAGGGCTAGGAAACAAAATAATGTGTTGGGGCTTGGTGGTGGAGGTGGAAAAGTTGGGGAAATGAGAGACTTGTTGCCCTGGACAAAGGAGTGAGATAGTTCTTGGGAGGGGAGAATACTTTATCAATTCTTTCATCTCCTGATGGCCAGTGCATCCAGCCTTCAATAAAAATGTGTATTCTTACCCCATATAGTACTGCCCAAGTCAGCAGTCAGCCAAGGGAGAATTCTCCAGTGAGTATCTAGTGACTGCCTCAATTCCAGACAATATGCCTAGCTAAAATATCCATTAGAGCTAGTCAAGCTTCAAGATTCTTCCCCCCATACCCACTCTACCCAGCCACTCTGAAATATCCTGGTCATCCCCAGAGAGCTTATAGCCCTGGAGGCCCAGGGTATGGGCTATTAATGACTATGCTAGTTAAAGAAAGGCTAGATCACATGACTTACAAAGTGGGAATAAATCCAAATACAATTCCAAGAGAAAAAAAATCAATTATTTGGTGTCTGGGATTTCCTGAATACTCCGTTGTTTTCTTTCAGACTGCCCTCTTTGGATTCTTTTCTCTCTGGCTTTTTAAAGGGGAAGATGACCATTGGGGACATCTCCAGTGACATCTTGTTTTCCTCTGTGGTCAAATGGAAGCACTGAGGTATAGATTTCCTTATTTCATATTTCTCTAACTCTTCTTTTTGACAAAAGTTAATAAAATTCATGAAGTTAAAAAATATCATCAAAATGCATTACAGTTTAATTGACATGAGCTCATGTATATACTAAATTTTATTCCTGTGTATATTATAAGCATCTTTATCATAGGCTTGAATTACAGAGCTATTCTAATTTTTAGCCTTTGGGGGGGATGAGGTGGCATCCACCAGGCTATATGATCAATGGAGTATAGAGATTTGAATATCATTGCTCCTCAAATAGCCTTGCTTTTCTTTTAGTAGGGGTAAGAGGCTGCTTCTGGCCTATGGGTTTGATTGTTTAGAGGTTATTTCGGGTGTGGAAATTCCTTCCATCAATGTAGACTGGCAATTTATCTAGAACTTACAGTTTTGGAAAGTTAGTTGCCTTGGGTGCTGTGAGATTAAGTGAATTGACAAGGGGTACCCAGCTAGTTTGTATCAGATGAAGTATGCTGTGCTGTTTCTCTATTTGATATAATAGAAAAAAATATCCCTCAACATGAGCTATATCAGAGATTTCATACGATTATGCTTGTTGAGGTAGAAGCCACCGAGTCCAACTCTTTTATTTAACAAATGAACACCTGAGGTGCAGAGGGAAGTGACTTGCCTAAGGACATACAGGAAGTAAAGGCTGAAGAGAAGATTTGAACCCAGGTCCTCTGACTATAAATTCAGTATTATTTCTATTTTCTCTAAAAGTGTGGAGGCACCTTCCAAAGTAACTTCAGTGAATCAAAATAGAGGGTCTTCATTTTCTCTGCTGTAAAATAAGGGGGTTGGATTTAATGATCCCTAAAGTTTCTTCCAGATCTAAGTCTAGGGTCATAGCTATACTCCTAAGCATCTTGCAGTCCTGTCTAATGCACCATGACCATGACAGTAAGAAAGACCTAGAATCCAGATCAACATTGACTCTTGAGTCAAGGCAGCAGTGAATAAGTGGTACCCACTAGTGAACCCTTCTAACCCTGATTGTGGGTGTCAAAATAGGCACTCCAACCCAACAGGGAACTTCAAGACTACAAGTTCAGAAGAGGTAATATATGGTAGAGTGGAAAGAGTGCTAGATTTGTCACCCAAGGACCTAGGTTTGAATCCCAACACTGACATTTGGGTGATGTTGGGCAAGTCATTTAACTTTTCTGGGCCTCAGTGTCTTCATGTGTGAAAGGAAGGACTAGGACGAGATGACCTCTAAAGTCTCCGAGTCTCTAAACTGGAGTGATGTGTTCCTTCCTAGCTCATATGTAGTTATGTAAAATTGAAAAAATTCAATTCCCCTAAAAGGCCTAGTCTATAGTAGTATGTACATTAAATTATATATAGTTTATTTATATTTGCAAATGGCATACTGAGAACGTGTATAAATACACAGGCTGTCAGAATTTAGGAGGGGAGAATTAAAACATCCCCGGTACCCTGGTACTGGTATTGAAAAAAAAATCATAAATAAGTCATTTTAATTATATTCTCCTTTTACCAATAACAACTCTCTGAAGCCTTATGTTCAATAATACTCTCACATGACACCAGCTAAGATTCCCCGGCCTCATTGTTTTGGAGAGATTACATTTCACTGCATGTTTAATTAACAAGCTGTACTCACCGCGGCCATTGCTAGGGAGACAGGACGGCCTCCCCATTTCGGGTTGATAGAGGGTTCAGGAAGTGAATGAAGGACCTTTGACGGGCACCGGCCTTGTCCTTTGTCTTGAGGCGATCCTGCACCAGCTTTGCCACGATCAGCAGGTTTGTGACAGCCTTGGAGTTTCTCTTGAGGGTCCTCTTACCCCCAAAACAAAGCAAAAACAAACAACCCCCCCCAAAAAAAACCCCTTGTGTCAATTTTGCCTTATATGTTTTGGGAGAAGGTAAGTTTCTTTTTTCTTTTTCATAGAGATGTCTCATGAAAGTTTATTTTCTATACTTAGAGTCAATCAGCCAATGAGCATTGATTGATTGCCTACTATGTGTCGGACTCTGGGGGTAGAATACAAAGACTGAAATGTTCCTTTCTTCCAAAGAGCTTAATGTTCAAATGAGGAAACAACATGCATGTAAAAGCGCATACAGAAGAAGTACAAATAAATCCAAGGCCATTAGGGACAGAGGCACTGATTCTTCTCCTATGCCTTTCCCAGTGCTTGGGATGTGTGGTTTATGACTCTCCCCATAGACACGGTCACTCTTCTGTCATCAGAGGATGACCTCAAAGGTCAGACAATTCAACGTCCTTCATTTCACCCATGAAAATACCCATGGCCCAGAAAAGCTGGTGACAGTCAGGATTCAAACTCAGATCCTTGAGTTCTTCCCATTTTTTTTTCATTACACCCACAGGGAAGTAAGTAGCAGAACCCAGGCCTCTGAGTTCAACTCCTGCAATCTTTGTTATTGAA